GGAGGAGGGCGAAAGGGATAATTAGGCACATGTGTGTGGTGATGGATTGTAATTAGTATTTGGGTGGTGAACATGAGAACATGATGTAATCCATGAAGAAATAGAAGTATAATGATGTGCACCTGAAATTTATGCAATGTTATAAACAAATGTTACTGCAATAAACAAAAAATTAAAAAAAAAAAACAAAAAAACAAAAACCACCTCTCAGTAGATTAGAAATGCAGTCACATGTTGCTTAACAACCGGGACACGTTCTGAGAAACATGTTGTTAAGCGATTTTGTTGCTATGTGAACATCACAGAGTGTACTCACACAAACCTAGATGTATAGCCTACTATACACCTAGGCTATACAGTACTAATCTTATAGGACCACCATCATATAGGCGGTCCATCATCGACTGAAACGTCATTATGCAGCACACGACTGTATAGAGAACTCTCTCAATTTCATAAAGAATATTTACAAAAACCCTACAGATAACATACTTAATGCTGAGAAACTTGAAACTTTCCCACTAAGATTAGGTACATGGCAAGGATGTCCCCTCTCACCACTCCTTTTCAACATCATACTGAAAGTCCTAGCTAATTCAATCAGACAAGAAAGGAAATAAAAGGTATACAGATTGGGAAGGAAGAAACAAAACTCCCTTTGTTCACAGACGACATAATTGTCTATGTAGAAAATCTGAAAGAACAAATAAAAAAACTCCTGGAACTAATAAGCAATTATAGCCAGGTTGCAGGGTACAGGTTAATATAGAAAAGTCCATTGCTTTCCTATATACCAGCAATGAACAAATGGAATGTGAAATTAAAAACACAATACCCTTTACAGTAGCACTCCCCAAAATGAAATACTTACATATAAATCTAACAAAATATACACAAGATCTACATGAAGAAAACTACAGAACTTGGATGAAAGAAATCAAAAAAGAACTAAATAAATGGAGAGACACTCCATGTTCGTGGAAAGGAAGATTCAACATTGTCAAGATGTCAGTCTTCCAAACTTGATCTATAGTTTCAATGCAATTCTAGTCAAAATCCTAGTAAGTTATCCTGTGGATATTGACAAGCTGATTCTAAAGTTTAAATGGAGAGGCAAAAGAGTCAGAACAGCCAACTCAATATTGAAGGAGAAAAACAAAAGCGGAGGACTGACACTACCTGACTTCCAGACTTACTATAAAGCTACAGTAATGAAGGTAGTGTGATATTGGTAAAAGAACAGAGAAACAGATGAATAGAACAAAACAGAGAGCCCAGAAATAAATCCACCTAAATATAGCCAACTGATCTTTGACAAAGGAGCAAAGGCAATACAATGGAGCAAAGAAAAGTTTCTCCAACAAATTATGTTCTAACTGGACATCCATGTGCAAAAAAATGAATCTAGACACAGACGTTACACACTTTACAAAAATTAACTCAAAATGGATCATAGACCTAAATATAAAATACAAAACTACAAAACTTCTAGAAGATAACACAGGAGAAAACCTAGGTGACCTTGTGTATGGAGATGCCCTTTTAGAAACACAAAAGATGACATCCATGAAAGAAATAATTGATAAAATGGACTTCATTAAAATTAAAAATTTCTGCTCTGCAAAAGACAATGTCAAGAGAATGAGAAGATAAGCCACAGAATGGAAGAAAATATTTGCAAACACACATCTGATAAAGGACTATTATCCAAAATACACGAAGAACTCTTAAAATTCAACAATAAGAAAACAAAAAACTTGATTAAAAACTGGGCCCAAAACCTTAGCAGCCACCTTACCAAAGAAGATATACAGATGGCAGATAAGCACATGAAAAGACGTTCCATAGGGAATTGCAAAATTAAAACAACAATGAGATATTGCTATGCACTTATTAGAATGGCTAAAATCTAGAGCACTGATAACACCAAATATTGATGAGGATGTGGAGCAACAGGAATTCTCATTTGTTGCTGCTAGGAATGCAAATGAAACGGCCACTGTAGAAGAAAGTTTGGTCGTTTTTTACAAAACTAAACATACAGGGCGAGCCTGGTGGCATAGTGCTTAAGTTCGCATGCTCTGCTTCGGTGGCCCAGGGTTTGCCGGTTAAGATCCTGGGCGCAGACCTACTCATAGCTCATCAAACCAGGCTGAGGCGGCGTCCCACATAGAAGAACTAGAAGGATCTACAACTAGGATATACAACTATGTACTGGGGCTTTGGGGAGAAATGGAAAAAGAGGAAGATTGGCAACAGATGTTAGCTCAGGGCCAATCTTCCTCAAAAAAAAAAAAAAAAAACCCACACCAAAAAACAAAAAACAAAACTAAACATACTTTACCATATGATCCAGCAATGGTGCTCCTTGGTATTTACCCAAAGAAGTTGAAAACTTATGTCCAAACAAAAACTTGCACATGGATGTTTGTAGCAGCTAGTGCCAAAACTTGGAAGCAACCAAGATGTCCTTCGCTAAGTGAATGAATGAATAAACTGTGGTACATCCAGACAATGGAATATTATTCAGTGCTAAAAAGAAATGAGCTATCAAGTCATGAAAGACAAGGAGTAACCTAAAATGCATATTACTCAGTAAAAGAAGCCAATCTGAAAAGGCTACATACTGTATGATTCCAACTACATGACATTCTGGAAAAAGCAAAGCTATAGAGAGACCAAAAAGATCAGTAGTTGCCCAGGCTTGGAGGGAGAAGGGATGAACAGGTAGAGGATTTTTAGGGCAGTGAAAATACTCTGTATGATACTATAATGATGGATACTTGTCATTACAGTATTTGTCCAAACCCACAGAATGTACAACAGGCAGACTGAACCCTAATGTAAACCATGGACTTTGGGTCATTATGATGTGTCAGTGTGGGCTCAGCAATTATAACAAATGTACCACTCCGGTTAGGGATGTTGATAACAGAGGAGGCCATGCACATGTGGTGCAGGAGATATGTGGGAGACTTTCCTCTCAATTTTGTTCTGAACCTAAAACTGCTCTAAAAAAATAGTCTTAAAAAAATAACATAACAAACCCATAACATGTTAACATAAATAACATTTTTATTTTTAAAAACCTACATTTTCCTAAACAAAAAATAAAATTAATCAGAAGAACGTCACTGTTTTACATTTTTACAAATCTCTTTAATGTCTGCAGATATCACACATCATGTAGCCTCTGAAAAACCCCACTACACCTTGAACCACCCCAGCTGAAGATCAAGACACTGGGGAGCACAGACAAATTAAACCTGATTTACTAACTTTCAGAATCATGAGCATAAAAAAAGGTTGTTGTTGTACACCAATAAGTTTTGGGGTCATTTGTTACTACTGAGGGAGGTAATCCTCCATAGAGGCCCCAAGTATCCCTGCACATTCTTGCTGGGTGTGTCAAGAATGCCAAACCCTGACCAATCTTTACCTGGGCCATTTCTTAGGAGCGTGTTTGCAGCTAGCAACCTTGAAGGACAAGTAACATTTTCCTCTAGGACAAAGAGTAGTCTTACCATAAAAGGGGTAAACTCCCCAAACTCATTGTTTCTCAGATGTGTGCACATTATCCATATAAATCCCTCTGTGTTGCCTCTGTGGGACGTTGCAGGAATGGGGGTGGGGGGAGCGGGGAGGGGCTGCAGCACGAGAAGAACTGACACAATATGATGTTCATGTTGCTTGCTGTGCTATGAATAATAAAGTCCTTTGTCTCTGACCCAGGAGTCTTGTGTCTTCTGTCAGCATCCATGAAGCAGTAACAGGCTAACTTATTCGTTAGTTTACAAGGTAAAATCTCAGACCCCTCACAATTCTTGACAGGTGCAGAGCAATAGATAACTGGAACATATTCCATATGTCCTTTCTGTATTTTCTACCTTTTGCCTCATTGTGTTTCATTCTAAATATTTTCTTCTGACCTATATTCCAATCCACTAATTCTTTCTTTATTTTGGTCTTACTTTCTGTTAAAACATGTCCAATGAGTTCTTATTTAAGGTATGGTATTTTTTAGTCTTAGAATTTCCATTTGGTTCTTTCTTTACCTACCTACCTATCTCTCTATTTCAGTTTTCTACTGAAATTCTCAAACCTGTCTCTTTTTTTCCATCAACATAATTATGTTTAGTTATTTTAAAGACCATGAACAATAATTCCATTATTAGAATTCTCTGTGGATATTTCTATTGTCTGTTGTTTCCTCTTCATTTTTGGTCACACTGTCTCTTCCTTATGCCTTTTTTTTTTTTTTTGTGAGGAAGACTAGCCCTGAGCTAACATTTAATGCCAATTCTCCTCTTTTTTCTTGAGGAAGATTGGCCCTGGGCTAACATCCGTGCCCATCTTCCTTTACTTATATGGGACTTATAAGTAGCGCGTTGGTGTGCGCCCAGGATCCGAACCTGCAAACTCTGGGCCGCCAAAGCGGAGCGTGCACACTTAACCACTGCGTCACCGGGCTGGCCCCATCCTTACACCTTTTTAAATTCAGTGCATGATATTGCATATAAGAAATTTAGAGGTAATTTAAGACTTAGGGTAATGTCACCTTCCTCCAAAGAGAATTAAGATTTACTTCTAGCAGGTAGCTTGAGGTACTAAAGTCACAGATCACCTTATTCTAATCATTGACTGAGATATTTCAAAGTTGGGATTTATTTCTAAAGTATAGCACTTTGGGGTTCCAACTTAAGCATAGAGAGTTTGCCAGGACCAATCCTCCAACCTTGGTGATCTGCAAACACCTATTTTTGTTTTTCTAGCCTTACAAAAAATTTTTATTGTATAAGTTTAAGGCATATAGCTTTATAATTCAACATCTGTATATACTACAAGGTGATCACCACTGTAAGACTAGTCATCATATATCACCATACAGTTGACCCCTTTCACCCACTTCACCCACCCCCTAATCCCCTTACCCTCTGGTATCCACTAATTCGTTTTCTGTTTCTATGACTTTTTGTTTTATTTTGTTTTTTTCATTTGTTTTTTTTAGATTTCACATATGAGTGAAATCATACGGTATTAGACTTTATCCATCTGACTTATTTCACTTAGCATAATACCCTCAAAGTCCATCCATGGTGTCGCAAATGGCAAGATTTCATTCTTTTTTATGGCTGAGTAGTATTCCATTATATAAATATACACAGCATATCTTCTTTATCCATTCATCCACCTGTGGACCCTTGGGTTACTTCTATATTTTGGCTATTATAAATAATGCTGCAAGGAACATAGGTGTGCATATATCTTTTCAAATTAGTGTTTTCATGTTCTTTGGATAAATACCCAGAAGTGGAATTGCTGGATCATATGGTAGTTATATTTTTAATTTCTTGAGAGTCGTCCTTACTGTTTTCTGTAGTGGCTGCACCAATTTACATTCCCACCAACAGTGCACAAGGGTTCCCTTTTCTCCACATCCTTGCCAATACCTGCTATTTACTGTCTTTTTGATAATAGCCATTCTGACTGGTGTGAGATGGTATCTCATTGTCGTTTTGATATGTATTTCCCCGATGATCAGTGATGTTGAGCATCTTTTCATGTGCCTACTGGCCATGAGAAGTGCCTATTCAGTTCCTCTGCCCCTTTTTTTTTTGGTGAGGAAGATTAGCCCTGAGCTAACATCTGTTGCCAATCCTCCCTTTTTGCTGAGGAAGATTGGCCCTGGGCTAACATCCATGTCCATCTTCATCTACTTTATACGTGGGACGCCTGCCACAGCACGGCTTAATAAGTGGTGCCTAGGTCCGCGCCCAGGATCCGAACCGGTGAACCCCGGGCCGCTGAAGAGGAGCACGTGAACTTAACCACTACGCCACCGGGCTGGACCCTCCTCTGCCTTTTTTAATCAGATTGTTTGTTTTTTTGATATTGAGTTGTATGAGTTCTTTATATATTTTGGATATTAACCCCTTATTGAATATATCATTTGCAAATATCTTCTCCCAATCAGTAGGTTTTCTTCGTTTTGTTAATGGTTTCTTTCACTGTGCAAAAGCTTTCTAGTTTGATGTAGTCCCATCTGGTACTAAAGTTACAGATCACCTTAATCTAATCATTAATTGAGCTATTTGAAAATTGGGATTTCTTTCTAAAATATAGCACTTTGGAGTTCCAACTTAAGCATAGAAGGTTTACGAGGACCAATCTCCCAACTTTGGTGAGCTATAAACACCTGTTTTAGTTTTTCCAGCCTTAAGTGTCCATCAAAATCTCTGCTCAGCTTCTGATCCACCTTTCCCAGAATCAGCAGATGCTACTAAGGGGAAAAGTAGCCTGAAATGCCAGGCCTCTCACTCCGCCTTAATAGCATTCTGATACACTCAAACATATGTCTTTTATATTTTGCCCAGTTTTTCTAATTCTTTAATTGGAGTGTTAATCTAAATAATTTATACAACATTACCAAAAGTGGAACTCCTCCAAAACAGATTTAATGTGTTTAATATTTAAGGGTTTTAGAAGTTTTATTTTTTCCCTTTTCTCCATTATGGGTCAGACCCATACAATACTGTTTTCAAAATACGCATTCTACCAAATATCTTTAAAGGTAATGTGTATTTTCAAATAAACCAATAGGATACACCTTGTTAATTATAATACCTTTATAAAATGTCATTTGCACACAAACATTTTATTTGGAGTAGTGAAGACAAAACATTCAGAATAAAACAACTTTTTAAAAATATATATTTTTTAGGGGCTGGCCCCGTGGTATAGCACTTAAGTTCTTGCGTTCTGCTGCTGGCGGCCTGGGTTCGGATCCCAGGCGTGCACCGACGCACTGCTTGTCAGGCCATGCTGTGGGGGCGTCCCACATAAAAGGGAGGAAGATAGGCACGGATGTTAGCCCAGGGCCTGTCTTCCTCAGCAAAAAAACAGGAGGATTGGCATGGATGTTAGCTCAGGGCTGATCTTCTTAAAAAAAAAAAAAAAACCCAAAAAAAACATAAATAAAAAAATATATATTTTTAAAGAAGAAAAAAAATATACTAAAGTAATTTCACATTTAAATTAGAAAGGAGAAGAAAAACAACATCAGCTTTCATATTCTAATACTTTACAACTCTAATTGCCTCTAAACATTTACAAACATTATCTAGGAATAAAGTATCATTTATCATGATCCAGTGTTTTTAAAACATTCCAAACACAATATGTTTTTTTTCTTGTATTCCTTTTCCCTTGGAAAAGTATGCAATCTTACGAAGATGTGAAGTTTACTGAAAGTCTCAGAGATATATTGTGCCTGCCAACACTTACCATGAAAAATACGAAAATCAATATATGGATGAGAACCTCTTCTTTCCGATTCAAATCCTGCTCGACTCCTTACGCGTACATCTCCTGTACAAAATCGAGAATAAAATATTAGTTTAGAAGGCTGCCATTTGGGAATAAGCTCCTATATGCAACAAAGGTCTATGTGGTATCATACTCATAAGTAATGGCTCACTAATGATATATATGGAATAAGTAGTTAAGAGTTAATTTATTTGAAGGGGTTTACAAATTTTCAATACTGAGTTGTATAGCTAGATGAGTTTTTTTTTAATCTACCCCTACAATAATAATAATTATTATCTAAATTTCAAAGTTAGATTTCTGAAAGATGATTCAAGTGTATGATAATCCAAGCTAATATCTCATTACTCACATGGAATTAAAAAAATCCTCAGCACAAAACTTTAAAAAGCCACAGCAAGAAGCAAATATTTATTAAGTGTCTACTCTGTGCCTAGCACTATACTACAAGCTATAGGGGTATGAAAAAATAGAAAATACATTATCTATTCTCAAGTAGCTTATAATTTTTAAAAATGTAACAGAAAAGTTAAATGTTAAAGATTTGTCTTAAATGTTTAATTTGATCAATCTTTTCCTCTCACTGACAGTGGGTATACCTAAGGCCTTTAGGCAGGTCTTAAACTTTGGTCTTTATAAGTTCAGTATTGTTTCTACATGTATCCATATGACTTTCAGATCTGCTTGTCCATACAGCAACATAACCACTGCAGCCATGTACCAGGTACTCTTTTTGTGCTCTATAGGCATTATTTTATTTAATTCTCTAACCAACTCTGAGAGAGAGGAATTGTAACCTCCATTATACAGATGCAGAAACTGAAATTTTGAGAAGTTAAGTAGCATGCCCAAACCACAAAGCTAGTGTAAAGGGTGAATCAGGATTTGAAACTAGCTCTGTTGGCTCCAAAGAAAGCACTTTTCCCACTATACAGTCATGCGTCACTTAACAACGGGGATATGCTCTGAGAAATGTGTTGTTAGGCGATTTCATCATTGTGCAAACATCATAGAGTGTACTTACACAAACCTAGATGGTACAGCCTACTACACACCTAGGCTATATGGTACTAATCTTATGGAACCACTGTCACTTAACATGATCCATCATCGGCTGAAACGTCGTTATGCGGCATATGACTGTATTTCCACAGCCTCCAAGATCATAACCTTTAACTCTTCAGTTCCTATCCCCCTGCTCATGCAATTTCACTTGCCTAGAAGGCTTTCCTTCAAGGCTCAAGTCATCTACCACAAGTCCATCCCACAACGATTAATCACTTCTCTCATGTGGTGATTCCCTCACTCAGCAACAAATGTTTACTGAGCACCCACTACACGTCAGGCACTGGAAATATAGCAGTGAGCCAAATACATACAGTCCTTGTCTTCATGAAGTTTATCCTCTCACAGAGTGAGACAAATAATAAAACAAATAAATAATTTCATTCTATGGGCAACGGTAATAAGTAACATGGAGAAAACTAAAGCAAGGTGAGAGGAATAGGGAGGGAGGAGTGATTCATTAGTCTGGTCACAGAAGGCCTCATTGAAAAGGAGGCATTTGAGCAGGGACCTGAAAGAAGTGAGACAGTGAGCCATATGGCTATCTGGAGGAAAAGGTTTCCAGGCATAAGGAAGAGCAAGTATAAATACCCTGAGAGGGGAACACGCTTGGCACATTCAAGGTCAAGCAAAGACACCAGCATGGCTGGAGTAAGGTGAGTGAGAGGAACCGGTGAGAGGTGAGGTCAGAGAGGTGGTAGGGCCAGATCATGCCGAACCTTCATGGGCCATTATAATAGCTTTGGCTGTTACTCTAACATAGAAAACCCCTAGAGGATTCTGAACAAAGGAGTGAGACTGATTTAACTCGTTTCTGAAAAGGTCCACTCTGAATGCGTAGACTAGAATCAAGTAGAAGCACATAAGTAGATGCAGGGAGACAGGTAAGGAGCAACTGCAATAAACAAGACGATAACTATGGCTTGGGGAGAGAGGGATATGGGATATGGGGAGATGTTGGTCAAGGGGGATCAACATTTTTTAACCTCAGTTATGCAAGATAAGTTCTGGAGATCTAATGTACAACAATATGACTATAGTTAACAATAAAAAAATAATAATAACTATGGCTTAAATTGGGATGGTAACAGCACTGGGGTAGTGAGATTCTGGATATATTTTGAAGGTATCCGCCAAAAGGATTTGCTGATGAGGTAGACATAAAGTATATAAGAAATAAGAGTCAAGAATGACTCCAAGGTTTTTGATGTGACGACCAGAAGAATGGAGTTACATTTTCTGAGATGGCAAAAGCCTGCAAAATAAACAGACTTGGGGAAGACAAATCTTTTGTTTAATAGACATGTTAAACGTGAGGTACCCATAACACACCCACGTGGAGATGTTCTACAGAGTTAAAAAAATATGAGTCTAAAGCTCTGTTTTAAGGAGAGCAGAATCCTGAACATGCTTATAGAGAGAGATGGAGACAATAAAGAGGAACAGGCTGAACATCTGTGGGGGAAAAATATGTACTAGAGTAGAATGGAACTGATGCAGGTAAGATACACAAGGTAACTAAAGAGGGAAAAAAGGAAGAAGAGCAAAAACAAGACAGTGGACAACACTTAGGCTTAAGAGTATGAAAAAGAATTAGTGAAAGAGGCAAAGTAGTGAAGAATAGGATGGCTCATTATCATAGAAGTTGAGGGAAGAACTCTGAGCATGAAGAGAGTAGTCATGGAAGACTCCACTAAGATGAGTAAAAGTACCTACTGGAATATTAATAGTACATTTTTAATAGTATGAATTAAAGTAGAAGGGATCAAGGAGTGTGTGGATGAAGAGATAAGTCTGGCAAAGAGAGGGCGAGAGAAAGAAAATTGTACACATATACACACCTAAATTCACTTCACCTTGTGGACTTGAGTAATACATTAAAAGTTGAAGAACCGAGACTAGAAGAAGATAAATGGTCTTCCTCGCCAGCCGACTGAGAACAAAATACATCCAGTGACAGGACTATCTGATGAGATATTTCATAACCTCATCTTTGTCCACGTTAGCATGGACATCTCTTTAGTATTTAGCAACTTTACAAATCTAAGACTCTTTTGATGAAGAATACTCAGGATGCATTTTAAAATTGTGTGCTAATGACAGACTCCCAGTTACTAAGCCAGAGATTTCTCAATTACCTATAACTCTAAAATGCTGCTCTTTTCATCACATTCAATATTGGTTTACAGGCTCTAAACGTCAAAGTAATAGATTATTTCTGCTGCAAACAGTAATGAAAAGCTACATAATGAAAGATATCTCAATCTCAAATAACAGATGATAACATTAACTGATATTGGTACAAAATAAATAATGCTTACCTAGCATACGAATGTACAATGCAGTCTGATCAGAACTGTCATAGGAAATAGCTCCACGCCTCTAGAAAAAAACATACACACATTTTTAATGCAGGACAATTAAATGTGATACAAAATTCAATTCAACAAATATGTATTTATTTGTGAAGCACTGCACAAGTTTGATGTACAAAATGAAATTAGATAGAGCATCTGCTCTTGAAATCTCTAGTTGTGAGGAAGACAATTATAATACAATATGCTAAGCACTACCATAAAAGTGGATAGAGTGAGGAACATGCAGTAGAGGGAAATTTAATCTGTCGGAGTAAGTCAGACAAGCCCACTTGGGGAAAGACCTTCTGCACAGGTAGACAGAAGAACAGATATGGTCCAACTCTTTACTATTTCCTTCACTTAAACATGAATGAGGGGGCCGGCCCCGTGGCTTAGCGGTTAAGTGCGCGGGCTCTGCTGCTGGCGGCCGCACCGACGCACCACTTCTCCGGCCATGCTGAGGTCGCGTCCCACATACAGCAACTAGAAGGATGTGCAACTATGACACACAACTATCCACTGGGGCTTTGGGGAAAAAAAAGGAGGAGGATTGGCAATAGATGTTAGCTCAGAGCTGGTCTTCCTCAGCAAAAAGAGGAGGATTAGTGTGGATGTTAGCTCAGGGCTGATCTTCCTCACAAAAACAAACAAACAAACAAAAAACACGAATGAGAAAGCAGACAAACAAGAATCATCAGACATTTGAAGAAACCCATTAGCTAGAAATAAATGGAACAAAATGAAAAACCAAATGACCCAGAGACTGGCAAGAAATGAGAGAATTTTTTTAAAAAATGTAATTAGTGTACTCAAAGAAGATCTGAGAAGACACTGAATCTATAAAACAAAACACAGGGTGCCGCTGAAAGACAGCAGATTTAAAAATACATTTTTGTATTTAAAAATAAAGTAATATAAAAATGTATCTTGAAACATTATTCATAATAGCCCCAAACTGGAAACAACCCAAATATCCATCAACTAATGAATGAATAAAGTGTGGTACATCCATACAATGGAGTATTATTCCAACATAAAAAGGAATGCTACAGCATGGATGAGCCTTGACAACAATATGTTGACTGAAAGGAGCCAGACACAAAGAACCACTAGGTATGGTTCCATGTATATGAAACACCCAAAATAGGCAAATCCATTGAGACAGAAAGTAGACTGGCGGCTCCTTAAGAGTTGGGAGAGTTGGTGGGAAATGCGGAGTGAATGCTAATAGGTACAGGGTTTCTATCTGCAATGATGAAAATGTTCTCAAATTAATCGTGGTAATGACTGCACAACTCTTGAATATACTAAAAATCACTGAATTGTACACTTTAAATGGGTGAATTGTATGGTACAAAATTATATCTCAATAAAGCTATTATAAAAAATAACAAATATTACAAATATAAAATATAATTACTAAAACAAAAAAAAAATGCAAGAGCTGAAACACCCTCAGCAAGTTCTGCCAACTCTACCTTCACACTCATCTCCTCTATCTCCACTTCTTCATTCTGTCTCAGACCACAGCATCTCTCATCTGGACTCCTGCAATGTGCTGCTGACTGGTTTTCCTGCTGCATCTCTTGGCCCCGCCATCCACTCTTTGCATAGAAGCAAGAGTGAACATTTCAGCTACTTCTCAAAATCCTCCAATGGCTTACCACTGCACTTGGAATACATTCCAAACTCCAAGCTCTGATTTCCTAGGTCCTCCCGTCCTACCACCCTCTCCTCACCACAATGACCCAGGCACATAGCCTCCTTGCTTTTCCTCAACCATGCCCAAAGGTACAGGCTTTATACTTGTTATTCCCCTGTCCAGGGTCACTGCCTCACTGTTCCCTTATCTCTCAGGTTCTAGATGAAACGCGATCTCCTCAGAGAGACATTCCCAGACTGCCAAATCTAAAGTCACCTGAGAGTCAGCCTCCTCCACAGCTCCTACCTCTGTGCTCTACAGCACTTAGCTGATGCCATCTTGTTCACTTGTTACTAAAATAAACAGCTCCATAAGAACAGAAAACACGCCTGTCATATTCCCACGGTACCCCCGACCCCTAAAACATAGCTCTTATTTAGTAGATTCTAAATAAACGAATAATAATTTATAAATAAATTGATGAATAACAGAATTGATAGAAAGACAGATTTAAAAATCTGGAAGATAAAATTGACCAAACTTCCTATTAGAATCTAACAGTAGCAGGGACTTCTTCCACGGCTGCATCCCCAGATCTAGAATAATCCCAACGTTTATAATAAAGCCTAGCACATTGAAAGTAATCAATAATATCAGTTGAATAAATAAGCAAGAAAGTTATTTTACTTTTTTTGCTTGAGGAAGATTAGCCCTGAGCTAACATCTGTGCCAGTCTGCCTCTATTTTGTATGTGGGTCATCGCCATAGCATGGCTGACGAGTGGTGTAGATCCCCACCTGGGATCTGAACCTGCGAACCCGGGCCACCGAAGCAGAGTGCACCAAACTTAACTACTACACCATGGGGCTGGCTCCAAGAAAAGTCTTTTAAAATAAGGAAATATAGAACTAGTGCCATGGGATATTAATATATAAAGTAGTGTGACACTATGAAAAAACAGACAAAATAGTCGATAGAGAATCTAGAATCAAATCCAAGAATATACAGTGGTTTGTATATGACAAATATGGGATTTTAGATGTGGGGAAAATATTGATTATTTAATTAAAAACATTAAATAAAGTGGTTGTTATATGGAAAAACATAAAGCTATAATATTACTTCCTACTCCAAAGTATATTATACATGGAACAAAAATTTAAATGTAAAAATTAAGGCATGAAAATATTAGAAGAAAATATGACTGCATTAAAAAAATCTTAAATAGGAAAGACCTTTCTTTTTTTTTTTTAAATTTTTACACTAGATAGATGTCTATTTTTTATTTATTTATTTTTATTTTTTCCCCCCAAAGCCCCAGTAGATAGTTGTATGTCATAGTTGTACATCCTTCTAGTTGCTGTATGTGGGACGCGGCCTCAGCATGGCCGGAGAAGCGGTGCGTCAGTGCGCGCCTGGGATCTGAACCCGGGCCGCCAGCAGCGGAGCGCGCGCACTTAACCGCTAAGCCATGGGGCTGGCCCGGAAAGACCTTTCTAATTGTTTTATAAAATCCAGAAGTCACGAAAAAATGGATCAATTTAGCCACTTGAAAGTTAAATTATGTATAGTAAAATATATCATAAACAAAGGCATCAAACCAAGGAAAATGAGTTCAACAGATATGACAAACGGCTAATTTTTCCCTACTACATCTAAAAATGAAAGGGAAAAAAAGAAGTGCCTTAAAAATCAAGTAGAAAATGATTAATAATGGTGTAGAAAAATAGGTAGGACAAAAACATACTATTCACAGGGAAAGAAATAATAAACCAATAAACTCTAAAAAAGATGCTTGACTTTATTAACAAAAGAAATATACATTAAAGCAATGAGATCACATTTTTACATATCAGATTAACGATCTTCTTCCTTCACAAATCTCTGGCATGAGATTTACAACTCAACATACACCTACAAATCTCAAGAAAAAATAATCATGTTTTTTAAAATTACCATAAAGAAAATTTACTTTATTTAAAGTCCACACTTAGTATCCAAAGTAATTCCCCAGATCATTAAGTTATTACCTCAACACTTATCATTTAAGAGAAAAATATCAATTAAATTCTTATATAGTTTCATGTATCCTTAAAAAAACAAAAACAATAGTGCATGAAATATAAAAGGAACAAAAGTTTGAAACAAAAATAAAATTCATTTTCAACACTGGTTGCCTCCAGGGAGACTGAGGGATACAGGGGTAGGAGCACGACTTTTCAATGAATATCTTGTGAATTTTGTAGCATGTGTACTCATTATATATTCACAAAACAAATCAAATTAAAATGAAAAAAGTAAAATAAGAATTTACTACAAAGAAAGCTACAAAGAAAAGCATGACCTCAAATCCCAAGGGACTAAATCATACAGAATACACTCCTGGCATTATGTTTAAAGTGTCTTCCACCAACAGAATACTCTAAGGAAGCCTCCTGCAGTGTTTCATGGTAAACTGTTTATTCTGGACCAAAGAGCCACCGTAATCACTTGGTATTAAAAGGCACTGCTCACACCTGCTGTTCTGATCCCCACCTCAAGATATTTAACTTCTTAGATGACAGGCTTCCCCTTAATACCACTATATTAAGAGGAAAACCTAGTGGCCTGGAGAGAGCATATATGGAAATACATATTTCTATCAGCACAATCATATTAATAAAACTACACATATCAGGTAATAGCCTGTTATGGTCAATATCAATCAACCCGCTAGTATCTAATACCAAGTTGGACAAAGATTGTTAAAACAAATTTTAACCTGTTATCTCTAATAGCCCTCTTTAGGAGAGTGGCTGGCTTTTTTTTTTTTTTTTTTAAGTACCAAGGGTATTTACTAAAATAGCCACTAATCATAAAGGTAAAATCTCACTTCACATATTAACAATTGAGAAAGATTGACTAATATCAGCTCTCTGTTAAATAGAATAGTATAAGTCAAAAAGTGGCTAAGGAACATAATCTAATTTATAACTATAACATACTAAATTTATTTTAAGGTAGTCATTCTAGACTTATTTATAGAGGCACTAATTTAGATATTAAAATGGTAGGGTTTATATTAGTTAATCATAAAGAAAACTTGGCAAAAAGGGTAGAACTCAATTGTAAATATTTATTACTTAGGGATGTGCAAAATATTCAATATTCTATTCTATGAATATTCTGTTCATTATTATTTTAAGTAAGTCTAGTCCACAAATACTTAGCTTAAATGCAGTACTAAACCACAAGATATAACCCTTATGAAATAAATCCAAATGAGACAAAAAATAATGAACTTTAAAATATATATCTGAACTCATCACCAAATACATCCTCAGTGATAATTCGTTTATCTATCTCCTCATGGACTGAGATTAAAATTATTATTATTAAATTCTCTCACTAAACAATCTAGGTAGAATAATCTGAAGTAACTCATTTTGGAAAAATACACTATAAATTATGAATTGTAACAATAAAAATTTGATTTCCACATTAGACTTACGTTACTTTAAAAAATAATTATCTGTGCTTTATATGCCAACACTGCAGCACAGACTTAACATATTTTTTAAAATTATCATTTAAAAAGCCATATAGTATAAAATTCTATTTTTAATACAAATAGTAAACCAAATTTAGTCAAAAGTTTGTGTCACACTGTCAGTCATAAAACACTCTGAACTATGATCCACATTCCCACCTCACCTCACCAGTGAATGGAAATAACTGAGAAGCTTCCACTCGTGACTTTTCTAATCTAGCCATCCTGGGAACAGCTTGTAAAGCAAACCAGCATAGGTCAAAACATGGGCGAAGCTGAGCTAATCAGAAACTGACAGCCACAGCACAAAGTTAAATTGTAAGGTTCCAAAGGACCCACTGCCACGCTAACAGTTCTGAGCGCCCTGGTAAGACACTCACCTTGAATCGGGTTGAATCATTCTTCCACAAAAGCTTTGACTTACAAGGTAAATGACCCAAGACGCAAAAGTTGTTCCCAATATTATACAAATAATACACAACTTTTAAAGACAGACATGTCTTAAAACGGAGCAAAGATATTTTAATTGCCATTGTTTTTGTCTTGTTTAAGCTTTCCTCTAAAATGATCTATCATGCAAAAGCACGTGTATTTCCCTTACATGGTAAAAGTAATAACATATTAACTAATACCTGCTGAGCTCCTACTCTGCCGCCAGAAAATGTTCCAGGTGCTTTCATACAAAATCTCACTTAATCCACACAAGACCTCAATAAGGTAGGTATTACTGGCCCCATTTTGTGAATTAATAAACTGATGGTCCAAGGACTTAAACACAGTAGCACAAAAAATTTTTTTGGTAACATTACCAAAAAATAGTAACATACTACAAAGGATGAAGCCCGAAGTTCTGAAAGCAGTTTTCTCTGATGTAGCAAAATGAGCTTTTTCAGAGTGTATTCATCTTACATATGCTAGAAAAACATGCTCGTGTTTGAGTGCCTATTCAAATATTGTATCGATCCACTGAATAGTAGTATCCTTCCCATTCTTCTTCCCTATGGAAACAATATAATTTTTTTAAAAATCACAAACTTAAAATATTAGCATTCTTTTCTTTAAAAACAAACTTTTTGGTGGAAAAAAGTGTCTGAAAATAACTGAAATTCAACTAATGCATTATTAATATTAACTTGACCTTCATTCAATAACTTGGCAAGCTAATCCTTTAAAAACAATAAGTTAGGGCTAGTCCCGTGGCTTAGTGGTTAAGTGCGCGGGCCCTGCTACTGGCGGCCTGGGTTCGGATCCCGGGCGTGCACCGACGCACTGCTTCTCCGGCCACGCTGAGGCCTCGTCCCACATACAGCAACTAGAAGGATGTGCGACTATGACATACAACTATCTACTGGGGCTTTGGGGAAAAAAAAGGAGGAGGATTGGCAATAGATGTTAGCTCAGAGCCAGTCTTCCTCAGCAAAAAGAGGAGGATTAGCACGGATGTTAGCTCAGGACTGATCTTCCTCACAAAAAAATAAATAAATAAAAAAATAAAAAATAATAAAAACAATAAGTTAACAGCTGTCAGTGCAACAAAATTCATTCATAATTTATAAAACACAAAGATTTTAAAAATTTGAGTACATCGTTTTCCTTTAAGAGAGTTCTTCAAGCATATTCACTAAGAAACAGGACCACTTCAAGCAAGAGACAACTAGGCTTCAAATGTTATGCTTAAATGCGAAAAATTATATATCAGGGATTAACATTTTGCTTGAAAAAGAAATTTAACTTTATAGAAGCTTTACGCTGCTTAGCAAATAGTGATGACCTTATAAATTTTAAATCAATCCCCTTTAATTTCTTAATACAGGAAGAAAAAAGCTGCATGGTGGATGAAAAATATACTCATTTTTACACAAGTATAGAAAAATAATCTCAAATAGTATAATCTTAAATATTTCCTTAACTTTAGTTTTAGACTCTCGTCCAAATGGCAAATGGCTAGCATCTATCAAGCATTCTCAGCCTGATGTTTAGAATTCAACTTCAAAAACAATAGATATATAATAATCTTACATTTTTTTCAATATTTTATAAGTAAGGCATACATTTCAGCAGCAGCCCGACCTTAAAAGAGAACAAGTATTTAGTTTTTAAAAAGTTTATAGTTGTTTAGAAATCCTCAATAATTACACTTTAAATAGATAATAAACTATAAATTTAGTAAATTAGTATTAATTAGTAAATTAGTAAATTCTTTATCTCCAAAAGAGAATGTTTAAAATATGCACACTAAAGTCTAAATTGTTTAAGAATTTTATAATCTTAAAAGTTGAACTTCTTTAATCATAAAAACTTCTTTAAGAAGAATGATACTGAGGAAAGCTACTTCGATACCAGGGAACGATACCATAAAAAGCCCCTAAGGAGGAAAAAGGTGGGAGAAGAATAAAAATTATATGCAGCAATTTTTAGCTTTTTGGCTGACAGATAAAACTCATACCTCTTTTAATCAGAGAAATAAAAACTGAAGCAAAAGGAGAAGAAACTCAACTAGCAAATTCATTCCTACCAAATATAAATACTAATGACTAACGTCACAATCCTAAAAATAAAGATGGCCTACCTTAGAAGCGATCCACTTGATAAGAACCAAGGCTAGACACCAGATCAATGTAATTCCCATTGGATCAATCAAAAGCCCGCTGCATAATCTCCCTCCTCTCCCAGCAAGCAATGAGCAAGGAAGACTTGATAGGAGTTTGAAAATAACCAGCTGTCCTGAGGCAGAAGAGAGGGGACAGTGACTGCCTGGAACCTCAAGCAGCTGCCTTCAAACAAGAATCACCTGACTCCTCCGAGAATGCGCTGCCAGCCGGCCTTCTTACCCAGTGCGTGCCTAATGCCACAACCAGGGGTGGGTAGAAGTTGGAAGAGGAAAGGGAAAACACCTTAGTGAGGGCTGACCTAACAGTCTCCCAAACTGTAGACGCAACAGGTCTCAGGCTAGCCCCAAACACTTCTACAATCTTAGTACTAACAGAGTGCTTTGAAACAACTTTCAAAAAGTGTTCGGCAGTACTGAAAATTTCTGTCACATAGACCAGCTTCACAGGTATAATGTCCTCGCATTCAAAAACATCAACGCATTTGATTCTGTCTTTTCAGCTTTTAACACTGAATTTGTTTAACTTTTTATTTCCATTAGAGCTAGGGTTATTTTTATGAACGTTAGAGGCTTTCATAAATATTGTCTGTGCTATTTAACATAATTCTCTCATTTTGGATTTACTGACAAAGGCCAGTCTAATAGCACATTTTCAAGCCATTAAAAATATATTATTTCCAAGCCCTAATTGCAATCTAGCTTATATTAAAATATTTTTGGTACACGTCTCATTCTTCTCTCGGCTGTGAGTGAGCTCCGCAAAGTGGGCCTATGTTCATCCATCTTCCTGGTCTCTCACAGCAGCCAGCAGGCTGCAGGGAGAACTGCTGAGAAAAAGCCTTTCATGAAACTTGTATTCAAGTATTCATCAAATATTTATGAAGCTGCTACTATGTACCAGGCCCTGGGCTAGATGCCAAGGGCATAATATCACTGAGTCAAAACAGACAGGCTCCTGCCCTTGTGAAGCATACAGCTTAGTCCCAGTCTCCATGAAACAAAGTCTGCAAATAAATACAAAATTGCAACTGTAACAAGTACGATGAGGCTGAGATAGGACCTGCCAACAAATCCTGGCTCCGATCTTGTTAAGAGATGAGGGACTTCCCAGAGTCCCTGAAATGTCCCTGAGCTGAAATGAAGGAGCAAGAACATGAAGAGGACAGGAAAAACTATCTTCGCAGACTCAATAATGCACGATGGCCCAGGAGCAGACAAAAGCAAGTAGGGTAAGCAAAAGAAATGGGAAGAAGAGCAGGGGAGGCTGGGATGCAGACATGGGAGCGCCACAGCGGAGGCCCCATGAAGGTGTTTCGTCTTCATCCTAAAAGCTCATCCCAACCTGAAGAACTTGAACTTTAGCTGTGCCAGCACTGTGTCGAGTAAACAAAGTCATCTGATTGTCACCAGCACACAAATCATGGTTCTAAAATATTTAAAAAGCCCTAATAGCTCAAATACTGCTATTTTCATTATCCAATCTTCAATACAAAGGACTTATTTAAAAGAAAAGTTAATTCTAGACCTGTCAAAATAAAGCATAAATTAAATTTACAGTCTAAATCAAAATTTTCCTAAATTGAAGCCATTCATAACACACAGCCATAAATTTCTCACTACACTTCATCCATTATACATATCTCTTCTTGCTACTGAACTAACAAGCTGTAATGCTAATCCCTGCACAAACAGAGATAACTTTTTTATTTTCTCATGAAACTAGGTGTGACATGAGATTGTCAGGGTCTTTGATTACTCTCTGCATTCCAGTAAGATTCCAGTAACCAAACTCAAAGGATGCCCAGGAATAGAACAGAGCAGCAGCATGTATATTAGCCCAATTCTCAGGAGAAATGCTGGTGGTCATCTGTAAGGGGGCTGTGTAGCCTGGGCTAGTGGCTACAGTGGGCTCAAGTTCATTATCTGCTGCTCTAGCCTGGGCTGCATACTCCAAATTAGCCCACTACCACAATCTTAGCCTCTTCTCATCTTCGCAGTTCCCCTCCAATCAGCTGCTTAAAAGTCAAGTTTTGAGAAGCAAATACAATGTTGTTATTTTTGGTACAGTACTTAAATATTCTTATAAACATCTTTTTGGTTAATGGTGAGCTCAAGAACCTGCACTTTCTTTTAGTCTAAAAGAGAAGGACTGAACGGTAGAAGAGGGAAAAAATCAGAATTGAGACAGAGAAAAAACAAAAAAAGACAGTGAGAAATGCAGTCCCAAAAGTTCTCTCATTTAAATGAATTTCTGTTGAGATTATTTCCACCATCTTAAAACTCAACTGGGTTTGGAGTCAGGAGGCTGGGTTTATTTCCCAGCCTTAATGACAAGAGCTGAGTGCCCCTGAGCAAGTCAGCACCTCCAGTGGCCTTATTTTCCTCCCTTTCACAGAGTTAAATAACATCTATAAAAGAATACCTAGCTCATTCATAGTAGGCTCTCAATAAATTTTATTTAAGAATCAGAATATTTAAGGGGCCAGCCCGGTGGTGCAGCAGTTAAGTGCGCGTGCTGCGCTGCGGCGGCCCAGGGTTCGCAGGTTCGGATCCCAGGCGCACACCCACACACCACTTGTCAAGCCATGCTGTGGCGGCATCCCATATATATAAAGTAGAGGAAGATGGGCACGGATGTTAGCTCAGGGCCAATCTTCCTCAGCAAAAAAGAGGAGGACTGGCATCAGATGTTAGCTCAGGGCTGGTCTTCCTCACAAAATAAATAAATAAATAAATAAAAAAGAATCAGAATATTTAAGACCTAAGAATGATAATGATCTAACCACTCTATCTCTGCTCCAACCCTAAGCTTAACTGAAATCACAATGGCCCATGAGGGGAACTTGTGCTGGGCTTGCCTGAGAAAACTTTCCTAAGAAAACTGTTCTGAGCCCAAGCACAGCTAGGGTCTTGGCTTTCATTTTTCACACTAGTGAATAGGTTGGCTCCCTAAAATGGTTTCCCCAGCATCCTCCTCTTAAATTTCCACTACATGTCTGACACTGAAATACAGAAACAATCAAGACACAATCCTCCCAGATCAGAAAATTTCCTATTTGAATAGAAATAGCTATTGATTCATGCCTAAAACCATAGATTCTTCTTTGCTAATGACTTGTTCACATCACTCGAATCTTACAAAAACTCAGGCAATACAGTTTTTTCTTAAAACAGTACATTTAACTTTCTGAATGGCATGAACCTAATGGCTTTATAACTTTTCCTTATTTTGAGATATGAAATATTTACTACTAATTTATCTTGATAAGTTACAAGGCCTCTTTTATAATAAAAAATTTCAATAAGATGAAATAAAAACAAAAGCTGTTTTCCAATTAGTATGAACACTTCTTTATAATATTATGTTTATTTCTTAGAAAATTCTCCTAAAAATTAATCTTTCCAGATCAAATCATGTAATTTACTATTCCATAAAGAAATAGTTGCCTTTTTTACACTAACGTATTCTTTCACATTAACATTTCCCACCTGTCTCAAAGCCTTGGTGAAACATGGCAGGGTAACAAAAAATCACTTGATTATACTAGAAAAATTAATGCACAGGATAACTAAACTTTCAAAAACATAATTTGATACTATAAAAAGAAAGTATAAAACTTTTTACCTTTCTGGGGCTTATGAAACTAATAATTAGGGTATTAAAAGCAGACCTCACTATTTGAGGAGTGTGATCAATAGAAAGAAAAGATATGACTTTGATCATTGTGTCTCAGAGCAGTAATCCAAGTGCAAATTTTATCCCTGGGGCTCTCTGCCACCCACAGGACAGCTGTCAATCTTGGCAATAGCCTTTAGCTATCCATATAGAGACTCAGCATGTCCCTCTCCTGACCAAATTAGGCCAACCTCATCTGCATTGACATCAGTGTCTATAATTTTGGAATCTCGTTGACGGAAATAGCCTATCCCCGAGTTCTTCATACAAATGTAGTGTCTGTAGAAAACCATAACCAAATTTATAACAGAAAAATGTGAGTACTGCAGTCAAAACCCTCCAATTGTGCTTTTATCATTCTGAATTCCAGCCAATTTTAGTAACAAATAATAAATTAGGGTGGGTTTTTTGTTTCTTTTCCTAAAATACACATATCAGGACTTATTATTTTTCAAATGGTATGAATTTCAAGACATACGAAACTGACAAAAAAAATTAAGCTTTGATAACTAACAAAAATTATTTTAAAACTGTGGTAACATGAAGTTTTACCAGTTAATTAAGACCTTTGCATCATACTGACAGAGTTCTGAATTAAGTTTTCTGTTATATGGTGTCCTAGTATTTGATGGCAACGGAGTTGTGATTAGTCATAGTATGAAAGAGGTAATAAAAACACCTTGACATTTTACAAACATTCAAGTATTCTGGTCCAGAAAACTACATCTTATGATATTAAAAGAAATTACAGACTTGCTTATCGAACCACTGTTCCTAATATTTTAAATATTATGGAAAAGTAGAAATGGCCACAATTTCCAGAAGGGAAAAAAAAAGTGGTGTAGATTCTACAGCTGCAGAGTTTGGACTTAGAAGAGGGGCATACAATGTGTATAATGTAAGTGTAAGGCTATACTAGTATATCAGACCAGGAGAATGTCACAGACGCAGGACACCCTAATTTCAGCAAGGCTGCACACGAAGTCTCTGGTGCCATCATCAGCAACAAAACAGAGCAGTGTGAGCCCCATACTACAGTTAGGTGGACTCCTGGCTGACTGAACAAACATACCCAGAGATAAGTACTTGACAATAAACTAGTGGAAGAATTCTAGAGGTAAGTAACAGAGCTCTGCATTTGACCTTGTCTTGTTCCACAGTTTATTTACTGGGGGGCAGATCAGACAAATGCATATCAAATCTGCATATAAAACACAAAGGGTAAACCAGCATACTTAATTACAAAATAAATAAAGAATAAAGTTCGCATTTTTAGATAAAATAAACTGCATGTGTGTAGAACAATGAAAATGGCTTTAAAAAGTTTCCTTAAAAAAAAAAAGGCCAGAATGTTTAACCTCTAAGTTAATAAGAGACAATGAGTAAAGGCAAACTTAGGAGGCACTGATAAGTATGCAGATCAAGGATGCTCCACTATTCTTAATACAGGCCACATTTATAAGACTGAGTTCAGTTCTGAATATTACACTGGAAGACGCACACAT